AACTATCAGTGCAGATATTCATGGGAACGGTGTTGGATCAGAGCGTGGCGCACTCAAGAGGCAGCGCGGCCCGGGTCTCTCTGGAAAAACAGCTGTCTATATTTAATCAAGGCGAATAAACAAGGAGTTTAAACAACTCATTTATAATTTAGATTTGCATACATTAAAACTGCTCATTTTAATCTTTTTATTAATATGCATCAACGATATTGTATAAATATGCAGTTTTATGCAAATAGCAGTCCCATTTTCTGTTTGTATTTAATTCTGTTTCCCAGCTGTGGATCATCATTTTCATTCAAGGCAACAGACTCAGATTAAGTCGAATATTAAGTCACAGCATGGGAGTGTATAAATATTTCTCAATTAAAAACTCTGAAGACTGGCTGTGCTACTGTATCAGCATTAAAAATGCATCGGTGTTGGGAGGAAAATAAGGGAAGGCAAGTTACCAGTTTGATAAGACATCAGAACTTGGAGTCTACATCTTTGAATGTGTTTTTTTTTTCCCATCGYTCCCTCCTCCAATCAATGAGTTGCAACAGCTAGCACTTTTCGCTGTTTTGGAGGCTGTTACAAAATCTGGGGGATGTAAGGACCAGCCAAAACATGCTGTGCCTCTGTTCTTCGTGCCTTCTGATGTTTTTTCACAGAATGTCCTACATTTTGCTGTTTCTTGCGTGAGCTACCACTTTTCTGTTGATGCAATCGAGGAGTTTTGTTCCAAAAATGTGAAAAACGGGAGACGTGTAACATCAGCTTCTGCAGAAGAACTGCCAAATGAGTAGAACTCATAATGTATCTTTATGAAGACGATTCAACGTGTTTTCAGTAAAGTTTATGTCCGTCATTGTTTTCTGTGTTTAGCTATCAGTGTTACCTGTTCAACCTCATGTGTCTTGCCTTGTTATATTCACCTGTCAGCCACTTGCAGTTAACTCACCTGCTCCCACTTGTTAATCGTGCCTCCCTGTAGATAAAAACCCTCCTTTTCCCTTCATGTTCTGGCAGCTCCACATGGGTAACCCTCATGTTCCGTTTTAGTTTGTCCTGTTTCACCACTGTTTCTTTTCATTGAATACATTTTTAATGAAATCTGCCTCCTGTTACCTGCTTATTTGGTCCAAAAAAAAAACCCAACATTTGTTAAACATTCAGGTCTGATGGCAAAAACTAGTGAAAATGTCATTATTATCTTAATAAACCCAAGACACAAAAGTAAAAACTTGTCRTTTTTCTATTTTTGTCTGGGATGGGGGTKGGGGTATTATGTATTTTTCAGGCACATATAGTTCACTTCTGTACCACTATGTTACCTTCATTTATGAAAATGCTATCAAAAATTGGCATCTGTCTTTTTCAAAACCTCCTACCATTTCAGACACTCCCACTTCAGCACGCTTTGAAAAAACGACTGTGTCTCAATTCATGGGCTGGGTCCTCATGAGTATGTAGCCAAGCTGGGCAACATGGGCCACATGCTGCAGTCCAGCTAGGCTGCATGAAACTGCTGTGAAAGGAGATGGTCTAGCCTTCGCTTGACGTATGTTTTTGTGACCATGCGCTACCCCCATTATAGCGATCGGTTTCATATCAGACTTAAAATGTATTGGGACGTGTATTTACATGTGTTTTCACAGGAAGAATAACTTCAAAGTTAAAACGTTACACATAAACAAATAAAAAACATTATTAATTTGAGTTGAACTCTAGCCTGGTTAAAACAAGACCCTGTCCTTCACTTTGCTTCGTACAAGGGTCTGGACTTGATACATAGAGAAGTGATTCTTGCAGGAGGCATGGCCTCTGCTGAAGCATGTATGTGTTGTTGCTGTGACGGAGGCTAAGCTAAGAAGCTAACCGGAAATCACGTGTGCTGTAAACAACCCTACTGAGAGGAGAAATATACCGAGCTGAATGAGACGACTGTAAATGAGAGCTGCTGCTTTGTCAGACAAATTCATTTTCATTTGGAAGCCTTATCAACACAGAGTGGCTTCATTCACTTCCTCCACTGCCGTATGCCAAAATAACTAGCAGACACTGTGCAGAAAATTGACGTTCTCTYCTCTGATTGGCCCGGTTAAAAATCTGCCAGCGAAATCCTTGTCAATGGTAGAAGTCCCAGACGGAGCAGTGAAGGGAAACTAGAATTGAGCGGAACTGCATAGGAAGGCAAGGGCCAGGCTAGTTTAGCTCCAGTATCAGTACTTGTAGTTGCATTTTATTTGACATCTTATTGCAGCATGAAGTTCATCAGCTAAGTTGCTAAACTTGCATTTAAAAACAAATTCTTCAGACAGTGATGAATTTCTAAAAAGAAACAAAACTTTGATAGCTCACAGGGAAAATCTCAAAATTTTAAGGCGTTTTCCCTTAAAATCATTTTTTTTTGTTGCTACTGCTTAAAAAGTGCTTCAAAATTTTGTTTTTAAGATTATATTTCAGACAGTTTGTTCAAATGATACATTGA